CTTTGTGCCTAAAGCAGTGCTAGAACTCACAGTCTCTCGATTTCTAGCCTGATGCTTTAACCACTACCCAAACTGGGTAGTCATGATTTAGTCCCCCTGAAATCACTTAGATTTAAATTGATAATGATAGCTTGTGGTCCAGTGATTTTATAAAGTTTAGGTTAATTTAGCTATACTTTATGATGAAATGCATTCTTTGGTCACACAGTAAGTATATAAACTTACTGTGTGGGCCAAGATAATATAAAGCAGTAAAACAGCATTTTAGAAAGCCCATACAATTATTTGAGAGTATGATTGTGTCAGGCACATATGGGCATCTTCAAAGAAATAGTCCCTACTTTATTGTGCTTCTAATATTCTATGTGAATTTTCTCAGGATGTCTTTGACCTATTGAGTTTCTCAAGATTATTTTGGAGTCTGGGCCATTGTGACAATAGACTTCATCATGTTTATCAAGTATGTAAGATTTCTAGACCTATTTTTATTTTGAAATGCAAATTTGGCACAATTTCAAATACTAGTTTTGTGGGCTCTGTAGCTTTCTTTTCTTTTAACCCCACATATTTGTATTAGCTATTTTTAACTTGTTTTGCTATTCCTAATAACAAACTTCTGTGACTTATATTAACCTCTAAATGATCTTTGTTATGGTTAAAGTTTATTCATTAACTGAATTGAGAACCTCTCATTTCCTTTCAGAAGGGGAAAAATAACTCCAAACAGTATCCCTACACTATTGTAACCACATTAATTCATACTTGCAAATCACCTTTGCTACTTGATTCATTTCAGTTACAAGTTTAGCAATCTGGTTTTTAAATAGAGGGGTTAGGGAGAAATGTGGGAGAAGGTATTTATTTGCTTGATTCCACATGACAACGCCAGAATAATTGAATAGACTGTATGGTTAGTTTGACGGCAGAATGTGGAATCAGCAGCGTCACATACCAGAGGAAGGAAGTAGGCCCGGAATCTCTGACAGTTGTAATGGATTTTATCAGAATTTCTCCAAAGGCTGACCATTTTGTCTTGAATTATTAAACTTTCCCTCCCCCTTTTCTGTGAGGTAATGAACAACTGTAAACCAACATGCATTTATATTAGCTTTTTAAAGAATGAATAATTAATTGTGTGCATGACACAGGAGATGGTTGGCTTCAAATGGCTGCATGTCAAAACACATAAGATGATCTCTGAGGCAGCAGAAAATCTAACAGGAGCAATGAAGGCTTGAGAGTTTTCAGAAGATGGGTATGCTATGGATATGTGAACTTGCTGTATCAAGGATGCTATTATGTTTTTATAGGTGGTGTCTGTAAGCAGTAAATTTTTGAAACACTATTAGAAGATGAAGTAGGTTCTATTTCATTTTAAGTAGAGATAAATTGTGCTGAATTTTCTTTCCAGGCTTCAGGGTACTATATTTATCTTTCACCACTTTCCTGTCCAAAGTACTGAAACATGAGAGCTTTAATACAGGGATAACTTTGATTTAGGAAAACAAAAAGAGTATTGTCTTATAATGAAATTTCTTTAGTAGAAGCCCAGCTGATTATAGACAAAAGAACAGAGATGCTGCTATGAAACTGAACTCAAAGTAAACTTCGATGGATAAAGTCATCTGTTGAACTCTTTTAAGTCAAATTCTCAAAATCTTCACTTTTTAAGCTTTTCTGGAATGCAAAGTTGTCTACAGATCTAGATCATCCTCTCAGTTCCTAATGAGCAAACATAAATTATAAGAGGTAGTATTATCATATCTATTCTATTATTCTGGTCATAAGATTGAAGAATTTCATCACTAACCTCTATGAGGTTCGCCAGATATAATCCCAAAGATCTGTGCTCTGCATGAAGGTAAATTGTTAGGACTGCAACATGTGGTGCAACATCCCATTTTTTATTAGAAGAATGATTATTGGATGATATGCAACATGCAAAAGTATCACAAAATTTAACATTTGTGATTATTCTGTCTCATACGTATACTTGTTATTTAGTTGTCAAACTGCTCTTAAAGAACTACAATAGAACTTTAATTTTTTCATTTTTATTTAAGTCCAGACACTTGATATTAAGTTGATTCACATTTTGATGTTAGTGTCTTAAGTAGAGTAACTGCATGAAAAAAAAACAGGAGTACGGCACTTTTAATAGGTAAGCTGTAAGTGCTGCAATGATCTGATTTACGTAGATAAGAAAGATGCAAGGACCAAGTTCAGTGACCCCATGGATTTAGTCAGACAATTTAAACTAGAAGTAGTAATATTTTTGTTTTTTAGGACATACTTTTGTTTTATCAGCAACAATAGCATTAAGTCTTATTGCATTCTTTGCATTCTTAGTGGATCAGAAAAATGCTGTAGATATAATTTATTTGGAGTTCAGTAAGGCATTGGAAAAGTAGACCACAACCTACTACTTAATAAGATGGGATAGACAGCATCACCACAACTTCTCCATTGATCTATCTATATATTTTAACCAAAATTCTTAGACCATTTTATCATATGCTCTTTAACTTGTTCTTCTTTCATTTCAAATTTCCATTAAAGCTTATACATTTTAGCAATTACTAAAATACCAAGCAATCTGCATTCCACAAAGGTATGCATTACTTATTTATTTCTAAAGCACTTTAACAAAAACATTTCATCCTTTAATCCATTCAAAAACTTTCTTACGTTAAATTCTGGTCCAGCTTTTTGCCATTAAATTAAATTAATTAAATTTAAATAAATTAAATTGTTATTTTACTCTTCTTTTTAATCCACAATGAAGCATCTTTCATTGGTGATTTATTATTCTTTTGTAGAATTTTAAGACAGCTTAGGCCAACATTTAAATAAGAGGGGAGGTTGCGACTAGGATTCAGTGATAAATCACAGATTTCTAAGATTTTACAAGGTTTGCTCCTCAGCTAGACCTACAGAAGATTCACAGACATGTCTGTCCTAGATGAGAATCTATATAATAATAATAATAATAGTAAAGTTGGAAGGGACCTTGGAGGTCATCTAGTCCAACCCCCTGCTCGGGCAGGAAACCCTACACCATTTCGGACAAATGGCTGTCCAGTCTCTTCTTAAAAACTTCCAGTGTTGGAGCATTTACTGCTTCTGGAGGCAAGCTGTTCCACTGATTAATTGTTCTCACTGTCAGGAAGTTTCTCCTTAGTTCTAGGTTGCTTCTCTCCTTGATTAGTTTCCACCCGTTGCTTCTTGTCCTGCCTTCAGGTGCTTTGGAAAATAGCTTAATTCCCTCTTCTTTATGGCAGCCCCTGAGATATTGGAACACTGCTATCATGTCCCCCCTTGTCCTTCTCTTCGTTAAACTAGACATACCCAATTCTAGCAACCGTTCCTTATATGTTTTAGCCTCCAGTCCCCTAATCATCTTTGTTGCTCTTCTCTGTACTCTTTCTAGAGTCTCAACATCTTTTTTACATCGTGGTGACCAAAACTGGATGCAGTATTCCAAGTGTGGCCTTACCAAGGCATTGAAGAGTGGTATTAATACTTCACGTGATCTTGATTCTATCCCTCTGTTAATGCAGCCTAGCACTGTGTTGGCCTTTTTGGCAGCTGCAGCACACTGCTGGCTCATATTTAAGTGATTGTCTACTAGGACTCCGAGGTCCCTCTCACAGTTACTACTATTGAGCATGGTGCCACCTATGCTGTACTTGTGCATTTGGTTTTTCTTGCCTAAATGTAGAACCTTGCTTTTTTCACCATTGAATTTCATTTTGTTAGTTAGTGCCCAGTGTTCAAGTCTGTCCAGATCCTTCTGTATCTGAAGCCTGTCTTCTGGAGTGTTGGCTATTCCTGCCAGCTTGGTGTCGTCTGCAAATTTGATGAGTTCCCCATCTATCCCTTCATCCAAATCGTTGATGAAGATGTTGAAGAGTACTGGGCCCAGAACAGAGCCCTGGGGCACCCCACTACACACTTCCCTCCATATAGATGCAGTTCCATTGAGGACCACTCGCTGAGTACGGCCGGTCAGCCAGCTACGGATCCATCTGGTGGTGGTTCTGTCTACCCCACATTTTTCTATCTTGTCAAGTAGTAGGTTGTGATCTACTTTATCAAATGCCTTACTGAAGTCCAAGTAAATTATGTCCACAGCATTCCTCTGATCCACTAATTTTGTCACTTGGTCAAAGAATGCAATAAGATTTGTCTGGCATGATCTATTTTTGACAAACCCATGTTGGCTTTTAGTAATGACTTTGTTTGCCTCTAGGTGTTCGTTGATTCGTTGTTTGATTATCTTTTCCAGGATCTTCCCAGGTATTGAGGTCAGGCTGATAGGTCTGTAATTTCCTGGATCCATTTTTTTTCCTTTTTTGAGGATGGGAACTACATCAGCTCTTTTCCAGTCCTCTGGTAGTTCCCCTGTGTTCCAGGATCTTTGAAAAATATAGTTCAGTGGCTCCGATATCACATCTGCCAGTTCCTTGAGAACTCTGGGGTGTAATCCATCTGGTCCTGGCGATTTGAACTCATCTAGGCTGGACAGGTGCTCCCTAACCATTTTCTTGCCTATCTTAACTTGTGTTTCTGTTTTGTTTTTTATGGCACTATTTTTGATAGGTTGGTCTGTTTTTTCCCTTTGTGTAAAGACAGATGCAAAACACGAGTTAAATAGTTCTGCTTTCTCCCTGTTGCTTGTCACCTTCTTGCCACTTCCACCCACTAATGGACCAATCGTTTCCTTCACTTTTTTCTTGTTTTTTACATGTTGAAAGAAGCTTTTTTTGTTATTTTTGACTTTGGTCGCAAGCCTTAGTTCATTTTGAGCCTTGGCTTTCTTCACTTCATCTTTGCAAGCTCGGGCTATTTGCTGATATTCTGACTTAGTTATGTTCCCCTCTTTCCACTTTCTATACTTGTCCTTTTTATCTTTCAATTTGTCGGAGAGTTCTTTATGCAGCCATGCTGGTTTCTTTTGAGAGCTGTTGTTTTTCCTCTTTGTTGGTATTGTGCTAGACTGTGCTTTTATTATCTCATTTTTCAAAATTTCCCAAGCTTCTTGAGTTGTTTTCCCCTTGAGGATTCTCATCCATGGAATCCTTCCCAAGCCCTCTCTAAGTTTATTGAAATTGTGGACAAGAATGAAGTCCTACATGATAGTTGATTGCCATCTATTAATGAGAAGGTTGCATGAGTTTTATTGCCTTTACTTGGGGATTCTTGATTCTATCTTACAAATAACCAGATATTATGCCTTGTGTCCTTGAAGTCAAGAATTTGTATGTTTACATAATGATTGCCTCCAGCATGAGAATTCTTGGTTACCATTTTAGTCTTCACATGATAGCAAGTATATTATCTTCTAAATGGCACTCATAATGGGCATAAGGAAATCAATCAGGGAGTGTCTTCTTACAAGCAGCCTGGCAGTGTTTTTTTATGAGTTAGGTAGAACATAAATTCTGACAACATGATGCTCTCAGAAAATATATAAAATTGTATGTTTGACATCCATGTCTTGAGTAACATGAGGTATTCTCCAATCCATGAATTATAATTTTAGCAGAGAGAAGTCAAGAATTACTGTAATTTGGGAAGCCTAAGTAAAATTGGATACTTAGACTGCAGTGCTATATATTGAACACCAGGCAATATACTGAATGCTGGAAGAAGGAATAAGATAGCAAGAATGAGGGAGAGTTCATCATTCCTTACTGTGATTTGGAACCTTAATTCTGACTGCCACAGTGGTTAGGAAACCATTCCATTCTCTGATACAGCTTTACATGAAGTTGCCCCATGCATATATCTAGAACAAAAGCTTCCTTCAAGACCTAAGACAGAATAAAGTGAATATGTTCTCGTTAAGGCAAAGAAAATTTCAGACCAGAAAAGATAAAAATGCATTTTTTGAAAAAATGCTCATGATGTCATACAGGCAGATAAAATTCTTGTTCAGTTAATAAGAGGACTTATTTTTGTTGTGAAGATAGTTGTAAGTTAAGTATTGGGAGAAGTTTGAATAAACCACATTTGGCAACACATTGTAATTCTGGAATGTTCACCTCTGACTTCTCTCCCTATGAAACTGCCTAGTACACTAATTACTAAGACACAGCATAAGACACGGCAAAAATATTTTTTTCCTGCCCTATTACTTGGCAAAACTTTTCTGGGAGAAAGAAGCTGGTATATGAAATAATGTTTTCTGTGCTCTGTAGTTATAACAGACGGATAAACAAAATAAAAATAAAACAAATAATTAAAATTTAGAATGTAGATTTGCATGTAAAGGATTTTCTCTTTTTAACAGCCTGAAGTGTATCATGATGGCCATGACAGATCATTTTTACTTTATCAGTTTCCTTTTTCTAGTTCTTCTAAGTGAGTGCCATATAGTTACAGGGGAATTAACCTGAAAAAAAATAAAACACAATAGATCACATCTAGCATCACTAGTTATAAAAAGAAACAAAATCTAGGTTTTGCTTTTGAATGCCCTCCCTCTTGTGTTTTAGGTTCCTGCTTCTTATCCAACTGATAATCCCATCATAATGGGTCTGTTTGCAATAATTCATTTTGACTTGATAGAACACAAAAAGCATACATATACAGAAATGTATACTTATCTAAAAATGGATAAAATGATTTCACAATGTACAAAACATTTATTATTAATGTCATTAATTTGAAGATCTTATTTATAAATGTTTATAAGGGAAGGTATGAGTAACTATAGGCATGCTTTCTATTCCTAGCAAATTTATTCTTTAGAGAAAGTGGTCTTCTCCACAACAGTGCCATTCATTTAGTTTCTTTAAAAGAACAATAAAAACTCATTGAGGTGTCTCCCTAGGAGAGGATAATTTTTCACTAACAGAGAATACTCTTTCATCCACATAAAAACAAAATGCTCAAGTTGGAGGCCTTTTATAAAATTTTGTTTCAGGAACAAAAGCGTTCATTCAGATATAAGGCTTCTCTGCTTTTAGTTCTTTCTGGTCACTTGATCAAGCTCTTGGTAACTTTTAGACTACTTTAGTCTGCATTCCTCAAATTCTTTATACTTGGCCCTGTAATTAAGAGCTTCAGGTTCACTGCTTAAAACATAGATTCTATAACTTTCCACTTGTGCCCTCAAATGCAAGATTAATGCAACAGTCAAAGCTGCACTCCACTCCGAGTCTCAAAACAAACCTCTTGTAGCTACAAGAAAAACAAAAAAGTCTTCATGTGAACGCTGTGGAGTCATAATCAGGTAAAACAGAGGCTTGCAATTTGTATATATTTGCACAAGATTATTTTCTAAAGGATGGTTGGCAATATATACAAAACATTTCTATTTTGAATGTGATATTTTTTCTACCACATAAATCGTACGGCTATCATTTCTGATTTTGGTGACCGTTAAACTAATCTATTAATATGTGCCATGTTTATTATAAAATTGTGCTTGTTCCAAGCTAGTTGTATAATCGTTTGTAGATGACTATTTGGTATAAAAGTGGGGATAAGGATGGCAGGTGCTCAATTATGGCATAGTAAATGATAACTTGTTGATAAAGCATTTCTGGTCACTATAATCATTAGTATGGAGCATGGTGCTTAGTATTGTTTTAAAATATTTTTGTACCAACAGCAAGTGAAACTAATGAAAACTAATTTTCGCACTTTTGCAGTCAAACTTCAAACTGATATCTCAGGTGAAATATAGTTTGGAGATTTGTAATGGGATCAACAGAAAAAGGTTCTTGATGTGACATCTGGAAGCCAAGGATTACTTACTGTGAGTTTATGGAATTGATGGGGAATATGTGGTGGAATCTTTTTACACAGCATGTCTACCAAATAGGCATATATTTTTCTTAAAGTAATGGTAGACTATGAACACTATCAGTTTTGTACACAAAAAGGAAGATACAAAGAGGGGATAGAATTTTCAAAAGTTAAATTTATTCTTAGATAAACGTTCTTGAGGAGCTTGAAAAAGAAGTATAGAAGCTAAGTCATTATAGTTATTCTTGCCCCGTGGTAGCACTGTGGTGTGGTAAGAGCACATTTCAGAAATTACAAAGCTTTTACCCACTTGAGAGTAGGCAAACATGTTAATTAGCAATGGAATACATAATACAATATAGTTTATTGCATCTCTCAGTTCCTAAGTGGGCACAAGTCAAATGTAAAATATGAGATAATGCAATTCTAGGGCACAAGTAGAACTGGAGAGCTGATCCCTTTATAATACTCAGTCCTATGGCACATATGCCACAACCCAGTTCACAGAATACCTCTAAAGTTTTATGTTTCATTCAACTCATTGCATTCTCCTATCTCATCCATGCTATCTCATCCATGACTGAAAATATGCCAGCCCAGTTGAGGGGACTGCTGTTATTTTAGACTACAATATAGGCTACTTTATGGACAAAGGCTAGAATAACAGAAACTTGCAAGCTAATAGTGTTTCCCTTTCTCGCTGTCTTATACCAGAGAGAATCAAGGCAGGGCAAACTTAAGTTTATTTCTTATGCTTTCTTGTTTTCCTGGACTAAGACCATGTTTTCTTAAAGGTCTCCATGTAACTTCTCTAAAGCCATCTCTATGTTCATCCACAGAATGTTTGTGTGTGTGTTTGTGTGTGTGTGTGTGTCTATCTTAGGGTAATATTGCATACTTCTGATGAAGTGAATTTTTAGTCTCAGTAAAATAGGCCATAATAAGGTGATTTAAACCTTCAACTGTTTTTGCTGTAATTGAGAAGACTTCTTTACTTTCCCAAGAAGAACTTTGAAATTGTTCTGATTTTATGTTATCCTATGAAACCTGAATGCATTAGATCAGGGGTCTTCAAACTTGGCTCTTTTATGACTTGTGGACTTCAACTCCCAGGATTCCTCAGCCAGGCATGCTGGCTGAGGAATTCTGGGAGTTGAAGTCCACAAGTCATAAAAGGGCCACACTTGAAGACCCCTGCATTAGGTTGTTATCGTTAGTGAGGGTTACTTTGCTACACATCACAGATATAAGCCATTGGAGTTTACATGCCTTCATTTACTCTCAAAACATGTGGAACTTCTTAGCTACTTCTGGGCTATGCTCACTATTGTGCAAATCAGCTCTGCCACTAAGCTAACCTCTGTTATTCAGATGTGGATATTTCTCTTATTCAGGTGTGAATATTTCAGATATGAAGTAAAGTGAAGGTGGTTTATTTATAGGTTTGCTCCAAAACTTTACTATAAGTACCCTTTCAAAAGTTATAGTTTGTATAGCTAAGCATGTCTTCAAATGAGTTTGACAATGGAATATTAAAATGTAAAATACATGATTAGCATATTGTGCCATATAACTCCTTTTTTTAAAAAAAAAGGTAGCACAGATAGTCCTCAACTTCTGAAATCAGAATTTTTAACTAAGTAAGTTGCTAAGTAAAGTGGTTGTTAATGAGCCATATCTGATTTTATGATATTTTGGACCATGGTTGTTAAGTGAATTATTGCAGTTAAGTGAATCACATAGTCATTAAGTGAATCTAGCATCCCCCTTCCAATTTGCTTATTGGAAACCAGCTGGGAAGGTCACAAATAGTGATCCTATGGCCCCAGGATGCTGCTACTGTCATAAATACAAGTAGGTTGCCAAGTGCCATATTTTGATCACAGGACCATGGGGATGCTGTAACAGTCATAAGTGTGAGAAGTGGTCATAAGGAGCGGTCCTAAGTCACTTTTTTCTGCTGTAACTTTGAATAGTTGCTAAATGAATGGTTTTACTTTCATTTACAAGTCAGTACATCAACATGTATTTTTAATGAGGTCCTTTGTTTTCCTCAGCTCATGGCCCAAAAGGTCTGGAGATCTGAAGAAACATTTATAGAAAAGGAATACCTGGTACATTATAGATTTATATGTCAACTAACCTTAATTGAAAGAAGTGCCATCTACCTGATTTAATCTCATTGGCAGAATCAGCTATGCATCATCTCCTAAGACTTGTTTTGGAGCAGAAAGACCTGTCACGTGCTGGGGAACTCTTTTCTCTGGACGATTGTGAAATAGAAGGATGCCTATCCGAAGCTCTTGAGCAAATCAAACTAATTAGTTCATCTCCTGTAAGTAGACCCTTTCGTGCTCTTTGCAAAGCAGAATGTGGGTTAGAAAATGAAACTTAGCTGCAGAAGCTCAAGAAAAAAGATTACAAATTGCACCCTCAGTAACGTGGGAGCAGTTACAATTACTCTTCAGAATGATTGGGAAGGTAGCATATCAAGACCTCAGTTCCTGAAACTCAAGGCCAGCAGGAAGCAAAATTATTTGAAAATGTTTTCTGTTTGTTTAAATCAGAGTCGCCTCCAACCGTTAGAAAAGCAGCAAATGAATTTGATAAATAATAAATAAATATAATAATTATAATCATTGCTATAATTATTCTTTAAAACATTTTTATTAAAAACATGAATGTAATAATAATTCCCTGGTTTTAGGCAATGAGTGAAAAGAAAAAAAATATCGAGTGATTGCAAGGATAGCAGAATGTGGCAATAAAATTTAGAAATCAGGAATTATACAAAACATTTTAATGTTTAGGAAAAAATATTTTTTCATACAAAGTACACTTGGTATCTGACCTTTAAACTTAAATATTAAATATGTTTTAGTGTTTCTTGTGATAAAGGTATATGTTTCTGCTAGATGACATAAATCTGATGAATTACACCAGTCATCAAATTTATGCATCTTAGAATTTACTATTATTGAGAAATTTGGCAGTCTAGCCAAAAGGGTCATCGGCTTATTATCGAATATGAATCATTTGAACCCACGATTTGTATCTTTGACTGGATGGCTTACAACCTGACTTGAAACAATACATTTGGAATAGAATAAAACAATGAATTCTATATTCCTTGGCCAGTGTTAAAGACTATTAAAATGATGCCCATGATGAGCATTATTGATTTTCTCAAGAGGCTTAAAGGAGAATGTATGTTCCAAGAATAGTTACTTATCAAGCATCTCTTTGTTCTACACGCACACACACACAATCCCTTTCAAATTTCAGCAGGAAACCTGTGGTAACTTTGAAATATATGCATGGAATAATGAATCCACCTAAGTCACTGCCATAGTTCATTGATACCACTGTTGAATTCAGTATTATAGAACATCGGACAATGTGGAGAGAACATTTGCTATTAGTTTCCACTAGAGGGCAGCAATAATGCATAATTGACCTAAAAGAACTTTTAAAAATGATTTAAATGTTCAGAATGTGAAGAAGATAGGTCATTTTCCATAACTGAGAATAGAATGCAAACATAATAGCAAATCTGTGCATTCTTCAATATCTCACAACTGAGAAACATTTTTTAAAGAATAGCATTCATACTGCTGTCATAGAATAGAACAAACACAGCAATGGGTATTAAGGCTCACTCTTTCCAATAAGAATGTGTGGTTTAGGAAGAAGGAAGGAGTGCAACTGGGACATTCTTTTAAGACAAGTGAGGAAAAAATAGGAAAACTTGGAGAGTGAGCTTTGGGAACAGGAGCAATGTCAGTAGTAAGAGGGAAAGGAAAGAGGGATTTGTGAAAAAGTAAAACTGTAAATAAGCAAGTGTAAATAAGCAAGTGTTGTTGATATTCCTCCAACAAAAAACAACTTGTACTAGTTAATCTTACTATATTGAGTTAAATAGAGGTATTCCTTGACTTACTATAATAATTGAGCCTGGAATTATGGTCGTAAATTGTTGCAGTTGTAAGTCACCCATTCACTGGGAATTTTCTGGCCTTTTTCATGGCAGTTGTTAAGCAAATGCTGCTGCCCCATTAAGAAAATGCAGAGGCCATTAAGGAAATGACATGATCATTGAGTGAACTGTTCATGTGATTGGTTGTTTGTTTGGTGGAAACAGAAAAAATGCTGGAAACATGACAAAAATCACAAATTGCAAGGACATGACTGTGGAATGCCATGACAGTTTGTAAAGCTGATCCACCCAACATGTGGTCACATGACCGTGAAGGGATTGACACAACCACTTACGACAGGTGGGGATGCTTTACTGACCATAAAGCACCCATTACATGACTGTCATAACTTTGAGCAATCATAAAATGACCAGTCCCTAAGCGAGGGCTACCTGTAAAGTTTTAATTGTTTATAATCAATGAATAAAAAAAGAAATCATACACACCCCTGAAATTCCAAAATACTATGCAAAGACCTTATTAAGAGAGAAGATAAAATCAGTAGTGAGATTTTAAATTATATCTACATACCCCGATAGCAAATTGGAATAGATTTATGCCATTTCCAGCTTAACAAATTTAGTTTCCTCATGGGCATGATCAGTTATGTTCATTGATGAATCAGTTATGATGCAGATAAATATCAAACATGATGTTCAGCCAAAGACAGGGGGATTCCTTCCTCCCTCCCCTCCCAAAAAGCAACTAAAGGAAATATCTTTTTCTATAACAAAATTATACAATTCATTACTTCAAGATGCTGACTTAGATGGTTCTAAAAATGATTTGATTAGGTAACGCTTCCAGTTGTGACCCACTTTTCAGGAATTGATGCACTATTGCTGAGGTTTGGGAATAGGGACATACTTGGGCAGAGGCAAAACAAATCCAATAAGCAGCTTTCTTTCATTTTTTTTATTACTGGACATTTTACAAATTCAGCACTTGTCCAACGAAAATTTATTTATTTATTTATTTATGAGACTTATATACCGCTTTAAGTGCAAGCACTCTCTAAGCGGTGTACACCAGTAAGCAATGTATATATATATTTACATTGCCCCCAACAATCTGGGTCCTCATTTTACCTACCCCGGAAGGATGGAAGGCTGAGTCAACCTTGAGCCGGTGAGATTTGAACCGCTGACCTGCTGAACACAGTCAGCTAAAGTGGCCTGCAGTACTGCACCCTAACTGCTGCGCCACCTCGGCTCCAGTCTTGTTTGTAGTTAGATAATTTTTCTAAGCTTTAAAGTCTTTAAAAGCATACCAGCAATCTAATTACTCTTGTACAATTACATTTTTTTTCATTTGAAGATCTTATTGTATTTCTTCAGCAATCCCCTATACCTTAGACCAGGGGTAGTCAACCTTGGCTCTTTTATGACTCGTGGACTTCAATTCCCAGAATTCCTGAGCCAGCTTAGGAAGTCCACGAGTCATAAAAGAGCCAAGGTTGACTACCCCTGCCTTAGACTAAGGTTCATATCTCACAGTATGAAATTTATGCTGCTTTTTCCAGCTAAACTCCCCCAAAGTCACTTGCAGCCATGCAGAAGATAGAATGTGTGGTCTGGTGCTTGGGCCTGCTGCTGGATTGGATGTTGGAGAATCTAGTAGATCCCTTCCTGTTGATACAGCTCTGGACTGGATGTTATTTCTAGAAGCCTACTTCTTGAGGCTGCTATTTTTCTGGATTGCCAACACTCCAGATTTAATTTCTGGGGAGACTGTCATTGTTCTGGGCTTCTTCTAGTTTTTGAGGTGTGCCTACTGTTGTGATACCATTCTCCATTCCTCATTGCTTATATACCCCTCAGGTAGCTTTGGGGATTCAGTTATCCCTCACTTCTTCCTTTGCTATCTTGTTTCATTTGTCTTCTTTCACAGATCCTCACCTCTTCTGCAGCCTGGCCCTTTTCTTTATAAAGGACTAGTTTGTCTGATAGTCCAAGGATAGAATCCTTTAAATTGAAACAGATAGAAGGGTACAGCTAATTCTACTGTAATTCATTTTTTTAGATATCCAGATATTTTAATTTTAAAAAGTCATTTAAGCACAAATTAGGTTAATAAATACAATTTTCACAAGTAATCATAATGTCCCTTTGGTAAGAATCTGGCTGTTTTTGGAAACTGAATATTGGATCGGACTGTCCCTTTCATTCTGATTTAGCAATATGATTTAGATAGGGTTATCATAAATGACATGTGATAAATTATATTTGAATGCAGCAATAGAAAATTTTAATTTGAACTGAATTCATTTTTTTTATAAAAACAAGTAATTATAAAAGTACAAGCTCAGAAAGGAAGGACAAGGGAATAAATATTTACTTGGTTCATTATTTTCAGTTTCAGTTGTCTAACATAGAATTTAGAACTGGAAGGGTCCTCCGAGATAACCTAATCCACACTCCTCATCCATGCAGGATCCACTTGAATATCTTTGATATCCAACATCTGTCTAAAGATCTCTAGTCTAGAGAAGGAGAACACAACATGTCATGATGCATACTTTTTCTTCCTGTTATAGACAGTCTTTCTAATTAATTTTAGATCCAATTGCTAGTGGGGTCAGGTCACAATAAAACTGGAAACTCTTCTGCTAATGGCAGCCAAACAGTTGTCAAGTTTCTATATTGCTGTTAGCATTTTCCATCCAGTTGGAAAATGTTCTCCACACTTAATGCTTCAGGGTGTGGAGACAAGGGTGGTTAATATAATATTTACATGAGGAACTTCAATTCTATCAGGACCAGCTGGACTGCTTTCACTCTCAGAATGGCACTGGATCTGTCACTGTTAACAGCATTCACTTTATTCCCCCACAACACCATGAACAATCCTGTGTCAAACCTTCTGATAAAACCTTTAAACCAGATATATTTCAGAGCCTGTTTCCTGTAACATAATGGATGGAAAGGTTTCTGGAGCTGAGATGGTACAGGATTACTGTCGGCAATGGCCAAGGATCTGGATTAAGTCTCTTCAATAAAGCACTTTCATTCTGCAGCAACATAGCTTTTGTAATGGTCCACAGAACATCATAAATTAGACCACTTGGTGGTAGTTCAGCGGTTCTCAACCTGTGGGTCGGGACCCCATTTGGGGTCAAACAGCCATTTCACGGAAGTCACCAAACAACGCAGTCTGCCATTTTTTCCCCCTTTTCCTTAGCTGTGCTACTCCCTTTTCTTCTATTGGCTTTTGAAAGCCAATAAAATAGACTCTCTTGAATAGAGTCTAATTCTATTGGCTTTCAAAAGCCAATAGGAATTGTCCAGGCTGTCTCTGCCCTGCTGAGCCCGCCAAAAGTCCTATTCTGCAAACGGTGCTGCAAGTTGTCTGCAGTGAA